ACTAACTAACTAACTAACTAACTAACTAACTAACTAACTAACTACTAACTACTAACTAACTACTAACTACTAACTAACTAACTAACTAACTAACTAACTAACTAACTAACTAACTAACTACTAACTAACTAACGAACTAACTACTAACTAACTACTACTACTAACTAACTAACTAACTACTAACTAACTAACTAACTAACTAACTAACTACTAACTAACTAACTAACTAACTACTAACTAACTAACTAACTAACTAACTAACTAACTACCTACTAACTAACTAACTAACTAACTAACTAACTAACTACTAACTAACTAACTAACTACTAACTAACTAACTACTAACTAACTAACTAACTAACTAACTAACTAACTACTAACTAACTAAGTAACTAACTACTAACAACTAACTAACTAACTAACTAACTAACTAACAAACTAACTAACTACTAACAAACTAACTTTATACATCAGTTCCACACCTGTTTATTTCGACTTTCCTGTATCATACTATTCTTAATAATACAAAAATACAAATTCTTATTCTTACTACACACATAAATTTTTCGTAATAATTTGAACAAATTTTCAAATTCATCAGAAAAGGAAATACTATTTAAGCCACATTACAAACGTGAATATTAGTATTTCTTAGCAATTTAGTGCAAAATAAAATAGATTTTAAATGAAGGAAGGAATCGCAAATAAAAGGATTGAAAATATAGCGAATAAATCTTTAAACAAACATACATAAAGAAATAAACAAACTCGGGACTTATGTGGTACTGTTCGTGTAATTCCCAGTTTAATTTCAATGTGGAATAATAACACACATGCACATACGCATATTTATTTTCACATTTACTTATATAAAAGTATATTTGTGTAAGTTTAAATGAGTTTCATTTATGTTGACATAAACAATAAAAAATAACAAACAATGTCGATGTCAGCAACAGAGGAAAACAACAAAATATTCTTCATTTATATAAGGAGGGTAGAAAGGTATGAAAATATTGTACATACATTTAGATAATATAATAAAAAGAAAATTTGAACAAATATTTTGACCATTCCACTTAGTTAATAAAGATGAAAAGAGTTCTGCATGACTACACACCCATCATTAATTTGCTTTAACAACCATTAAACATTTTCAGGAATATAATTGTGATTAGGTGAGAAAGAGAATTTGTCCAAAAGAAAAATGTTTTTCTATAGAAAATATTTTCCTATGGAAGACTGTTTCCGCATAGAAAAAGTCGTCCTCAAGAAGAATGTGTTGCTATAGAAAAAGTCTTCTTTAAAAAGACTTAGTGCATGATACCACCGTTCCTTTAACTAAAAGTCATCGTATTTAAGTTTGCTAGCAGTTAACTGACGTAGTAAAATCTCTAAAGATTAAACGCGTGTAGCATTATTTACTTATTTTTTTTTTAAATTCCCTTTTTTTTCTTACAAAAGTATTATGAAAATTAGTCAAGCAAAAACCACAAATGTTAAGCTGATGTAAAACATTTTTTAAAACAATTTAATTCCTCATACTTTTAAGTTCTTTTAAAATAATTTGTTCTTTCAACTAAATACAAATATGTATGTATGTGTAATGGGGTAGTAATATTTCAACAAAACATTATGTGTGTGCAGAGTATCATTTGGGGTCAAAAATGCCAAAAAAAAGTTTAAGCTGTATGTGTAAAATTGTTAATAATAAAACGTGTCAAAATTGTAGCTGACTTTTTGATTTAATAAAACTAATTTTCAACATATTAAGGTAAAATAAATACTTAAATTAAAGTTTTATATGTATTACCAAACAATTGAAAATATTTGCAACCTACAGTACGTATGATTAATAATTTTCTTATACACTCTGAACATATTACGTATACGTCACGTGTAGTTAGGTTTGCATCCCACTTACTATAATTTTCTTGGTCTTTTATAAAATTATGAAGACACAACATTAGTTACTTTTTAACCGCATTTTATTATTTATTTATTTTTTACCCATTCTAGCACTTAATAAACATTGTTTGTGGCATGTTATATGTATACTTACATATGTATAATGTTTAGACTCTATGTGTGTTGGTTGTATTATTGTTGTATGAGAATTTTCTATGGAATCTAACAAAGAGCTTAAAAATCAATAAATTGTTGTTTGCATCATCATACAAGTGCAAGTACTATTTGTACTAAAAAAACAATAATTTATTTAAAGACTCTATTTCATTTTACTCTACTATACCATTCCTTACTACCAAGTGGTAGCTGGCTGCAAGTGCTCAAGTTGCACTTACCAGCAACATACATCCATTCATTCTTTCTTTCATTCGCTTGTTCATGTTCAATTTAAAAGCACTTAACAATTTACAATGTTGCAACCACAAAACAAATAATATTGTGTTTTTACCCACACATTTTCACAAATACATGCATTTGTTGCAAAGACTTACTTCCTTGTTACTCGAGAGATTGTGAATCAATAGCTTCAAAGGAATTTTATGGCAAAAGAAAAAGTATCAAATATAAATACATACACAACAAGTATTTGTAGAAATTTCCTAGAATACAAACATCTCTGTAATTATAATGCAGCATGTAATTAAACATTTCTTGAATTCTCTTTATTTTATTTAAATAATTACAATTTTATGCCCTGACAATGCATACGTCTCGTATAATTCAAATCAATTACTTCACCTCAGGCCATCTCGTTTTTTCTTTGGAAAAATTACAACGTAAAAATAAAACCTTTACATCGGTAACTAAAAACCGCAGACCTTAAATAAAAGTCCTGTTATCAACAGGCTAAGACTTACTTTTGCTATTATTGTTGCTTATAATTGTTGTTGACCTTTGCAACAATAAATGCAACAAGAGACATTGACATTTCGTTTTAAGCTAAAGAAAATAATAAATACAATTAGCAGTAACAAGATGTTGTAAATAACATTACTTTGAGATAACAACATTTTCGTCTAATTTTTAATATTGAGCAACAAAAAAGGGCTTGTAGAATGTTCACAAAATTTTCTTAAAAAAAATATTTATTTTTTTTTAATTTTTAATAATATAATTAGTTTTTTTTAATTAATTTATTTTATTTTTTGAAATTTTCTTTTTTCTTTTAATTTTGCATTGCATATATTCTTCCATCCCTGACTACCGTTAACTATGGCAATAAAAAAACAATAACATAAACTAACTAATTGTATGCTGTAAGACTTTGAGCATTTTTGACCGTCTCATTAGACTTTCTAAAAGGATGGAGATTTAAAATAGAAATTAGATTGTCTTGCTTAATAGAAAACAAATAAGAGTTCTATAATCGACTGTGCCGAATCATAAATACCCTTCAACATAGTACATACATTAAAAGAACAGTCAGTAAGAATTTTTTTACAACCAAGTCTATCGAAGTCTATACTCGCCTTTGCCGTATCTTATATGCCCTTCATCATAGTGTGTTTAAAAAGTTTAATTTTATAAAATTTCAACAAAACAAAAAACAACAACAAACGAAATAACTTCAAACGAAAAGAAACACAAAAAACCAAAACAAAATACGCAAAGCAATAAAACCAATACACATCCAAACATACGTTTTTTGTTTTTAATAAGCAATGTTGTTGTTGCTTTTTTGTTAAAGCAACAAAGAAATTGTCTTTTTATATGAAATTTTCAGAGGTTGTCTAGGATTTTTGCTCATATCTCCGTTATTTATAGAAAGATTTTGCTGATTTTAAATAGGAAACTTCTCGAAAGTATGTCTGACAGGATTGTTGAAGATTTTGATCCCGTAGATATCTGCGGTCTTCAGAAAATTGATTTTAACAGACACACAAACGGACATACAGACAAACGGATCGACTCGTTATCTATAAGGATCCAGAATATATATATTTATATGGTCGGAAAGTTATATTGTGGAAATTACAAACGAAGGTGACGGGTATAAAAATCAAAAAATCACAAAACGAAAAAGTACCAAAAAGTCTCCCTTTAATATAGATTTTCATTCAATCAGGGCGCTGCGTGTTTAATTATGTTTCTAGGTTTTAATATTAGAAAAAATTCAAAAAATACCAATTAAAGAACGAAAAAGTACCAAAAATAAGACTCTTACAAATTGTTATAACAGAGGAGTCCTACATGTATGTGATTCTAGGTTCAATTATTCATAAAATCCTAAATGTACCACTTGAATGACGAAAAAGCACTGTAAACTCCCATTTTATAAATTTTGACTTAATTAGTATTTTGCGTTTTTTATATTCATTATTATTAGAGATTCAAAAACTGTCAGTTGAAGAACAAAAAGTACAAAAAATCACTCTTTTAGATGTTCATTTCCTCAGGATATACAAATGTCTTGGTTGAATATTGCATAAAACCCAAAAAGTAGCAGTTAAAGAACGAAAAAGCACCAAAAATCCTTTCCTACAGATTTTCATTCACGTAGGACTCTATATTATAGAAAACTCAAAAAGAACCTTTCGAAGTATGAAAAGTTCCCTTTTATAGGTTCTCACTAACTCCGGAGTTTACATGCTTAATTTCATGTTTCTAGATTCTATATTATAGAAAGGAATCTGAAAAAATGTTTTCAATGAATATCAAAAACTATCAGCAGATCATTTTGAAAGAGCAAATATAACTGATTATTTAAAATATATTTACACACATACATATATACATATGTAAGTGTGAACATATGTATGTATGAATGTATAAGTATAGTTAATGTAAAACTTCTAAACAAATCAAAAGCACGTGTTTTCCTATAAACTGCGCATATTCTAATGTAGTAACGCTCTTCACTGTTAAACTCTCTCAATGTTAACTGAGCAGTAAAAGAAGTAAATTTTGTTAACAGCAGCATCCTTAACTGTTTGTAAACTTTCATATTAGCCAAATATAAAATAGTAAGAATATTCAGAATTCAATGCCAGTTGTTGACATGTTTTCAAACCTTTTACACTCGTTAACGGAACATTAAAGCAATAACGGAGGAAAAGGAAAGAAAATTTACTTTGCTAAATAATTGATAGCATTAATAAAAAGAAAAGAAAACAATTGCAACAATTTATTATTAATGAAAAGTTAAAGTAAAAGCAAAAGTATTTTCAATGTCATTTAACAATGAACAAACAGCAACAAGTTGTAACGAAATGTAAAATGAAAAAACAAAATATTACAAATACGTGAGGTGAAACTTAATTAAAGCAAAAAAGTGAAAACATACGATTTCGAAATATCCAATGAATTGTATTTTATAGTCGAAAAAGATTAAACAACAAAATGTTTGTTTTTGTGTACTGAATAACATACGAAAAGTTTTGTCAAATCTCTAATTCTTAACGTGTCAATTAATCGTAACCAAAATGTTTGTATACAGTGTGCAACGTTTCCAAGAAAAAAACCAAAAACCCAAAATGTTGTATTTGTTACTAATTTATCAAACTTTGGTAATAACATGTGTCAATTCAGAAAATCTAATTAAAACAAATACACCGGATATGTCATTAATAGGAGCTGGAGCAGCGGAGGCTGAACAAAATACGAATCTATATATCAATAGCAACAATAATAACATATCTAATAATAGCAACAGCAACAATAATATTATGTGTGGCAATACGCAAAAAATGGCAGACAATTGTTTTAGGGATCTGCCGCCACATCTAATGGAATTTTTACAAACTTCGAAAATAGCCATCAATGAACAGGACATTGTATCGAAATGCAAGTAAGTTCAAGTAAAAAGTCATCAATCATTTCTGGAACACATTCTGTCAGTTCAGTTGGTGTAAGGATATTGAATTAAATTAAAATTTTTTTTTATATAAAGATAGTTGATGATCAGTTTTTTTAATATTTTGAAAAATATTGGGAATAAATCTATAATTCCAAATCAAAATTTAGGAAGACAAAATTAAAGAATCTTCTGAATTTGGAGATATAAAGTTTTTCTCTGTAGCTAATAAATGGCTCTTCTCCAATAGAAAAAGGCTTTTCAAATGGACATTTCGTTTTCGAAGTCGAAGTGCTTTACGTGAACAACTACCGTGCTGGCCTTATTCCACGGTGGTTCCACGGGATGAGCTAATTAGACGACTCACTCATTTTTGTACATGTTTCTGCCGGTCCATGTACAAGGACTCGAGCTATCTAATCTCTGACCACTTCCAAGATGCAAGATGAAACAACACTTCCGGAGATGGTTGAGTTGGCAACAGCACATTGAGACGTATTCGGTAGACCGATACACGAATGCATCAAATAAGTCGAGGATTTGGCTCACTATAGGTGAGTAAGGTCCGCATACCCCTAAATTCCCACATTTCGTCATGTACACTTAACATCAAATTTCGAACGCTTAGTCCCACAGTCAATCTTTATCTTCCCGCAAATTTGGGTTAAAACCACAACCTCCAAATGCACGCCGATGGGACCTCTCCAATAACTGGGACTCGAAACTCTGCTCTGTAGGCTACCGGTTACCGTGGTACCAGATTATGTGGTTCTCTGGTTCTACCCCATGTCGAATCATTCCAAGGAAAGGCCGAGAATACCAGTTTATAGTCTCGGCAGACTAGAGGTACTGATAGCACCTCGTTTCCCCGGGATTGCAATAACACCAAGAAAGACCCACTTTCATCAAGGTAAAATGCCCCCGGGGGTAACCGATACTATAAAGTATATATATTCTGGATCTTTAAAGATAGCGGTGTCGATTAAACTGTAAATTTTCTGAAGACCGCAGATATGTATCTTCGATATCCAAATAAGAAGTTTCCTAATTAAAATCAGTAAATTCGGTCCATAAATAACAGAGATATAATCAAAAATCCAAGACTGAGAAAATATGTATATAAATGCTATATATCGCCTAATAACATCCTGAAAATAAAGTACTAAAATCAATTGTACTAAAATGTCTTACAACAAACGAAAAAACATTCCAAATTGTTCAATGTTTTCCTCTTTAACTGCATAGTTTAACTTTATCTTATAAAGTCCATGTAATTGATTAATGGACTGGCTGACTGAGTGACTTAGGACAAAAATAAATTGTGTGTAAAATTAATGTATGTAGTGCCATTTTTTATTACAAAACACTGGAAAGAAGCAACAACTTCTAATCAACTCATGTGGGACACAAGACAAAATAAATTAAAAATTAATATATGACACAATTTGTTACTGATAATACATACATATACATATGTTATAAAATCAAATATAAAAAATACAACTTAAAAGAAATTCAATTATTTCCTTATTTTTCTTAAAAAACTCATCAAATATTCTTTGTTATAACACGTCTTTAATATTTAAACAAATAACAAAATTAAAATGAAAAATTTACTGAAATTTGTTATAGCTTCTTTAATTGTTTTTTTTCTTTAAAAAATTAGTTTTCACGCCTTCCTGCTTGTTGTTATTGTTACGATACCATTTTACATCTTGTTTATTTACACGTGCAAATATTTATTTGTTTGAACAAGAAGGTCTTCTTCTTCTGGGAGTTCATTTCTCTTTGAAGTTCTCTTATGGGTGTAACAAAAGAAATTGTTTGCGTTAAAAGCCTAAATTTATTTCATTCAAATAAATTTAAAAAAGAACATCTTATGATGACTTTAATAAGGTCAGTGTGACAAGAAATATTTAAAACGAAATTGTTTTAGAACTTTTTAAATATTAAGGATAGATAGGAAATTTATTTAGTTTTGTCTTATTGATTTTAAAATCAACTAATTTTGAAATATATAAAGAAAATTTTGCAATAAAAATTATGTCTGTATATCACCAAGCATCTACATTAGTGATATAAATTAAAATAAATTAAATTAAAAACTGATATTACTATGTAAATTAGTTCTAGTTCAGTTCTAGTTCAGTTCTAGTTCAGTTCTAGTTCAGTTCTAGTTCAGTTCTAGTTCAGTTCTAGTTCAGTTCTAGTTCAGTTCTAGTTCAGTTCTAGTTCAGTTCTAGTTCAGTTCTAGTTCAGTTCTAGTTCAGTTCTAGTTCAGTTCTAGTTCAGTTCTAGTTCAGTTCTAGTTCAGTTCTAGTTCAGTTCTAGTTCAGTTCTAGTTCAGTTCTAGTTCAGTTCTAGTTCAGTTCTAGTTCAGTTCTAGTTCAGTTCTAGTTCAGTTCTAGTTCAGTTCTAGTTCAGTTCTAGTTCAGTTCTAGTTCAGTTCTAGTTCAGTTCTAGTTCAGTTCTAGTTCAGTTCTAGTTCTGTTCTAGTTCTGTTCTAGTTCAGTTCTAGTTCAGTTCTAGTTCAGTTCTAGTTCAGTTCTAGTTCAGTTCTAGTTCAGTTCTAGTTCAGTTCTAGTTCAGTTCTAGTTCAGTTCTAGTTCAGTTCTAGTTCAGTTCTAGTTCAGTTCTAGTTCAGTTCTAGTTCAGTTCTAGTTCAGTTCTAGTTCAGTTCTAGTTCAGTTCTAGTTCAGTTCTAGTTCAGTTCTAGTTCAGTTCTAGTTCAGTTCTAGTTCAGTTCTAGTTCAGTTCTAGTTCAGTTCTAGTTCAGTTCTAGTTCAGTTCTAGTTCAGTTCTAGTTCAGTTCTAGTTCAGTTCTAGTTCAGTTCTAGTTCAGTTCTAGTTCAGTTCTAGTTCAGTTCTAGTTCAGTTCTAGTTCAGTTCTAGTTCAGTTCTAGTTCAGTTCTAGTTCAGTTCTAGTTCAGTTCTAGTTCAGTTTTAGTTCAGTTCTAGTTCAGTTCTAGTTCAGTTCTAGTTCAGTTCTAGTTCAGTTCTAGTTCAGTTCTAGTTCAGTTCTAGTTCAGTTCTAGTTCAGTTCTAGTTCAGTTCTAGTTCAGTTCTAGTTCAGTTCTAGTTCAGTTCTAGTTCAGTTCTAGTTCAGTTCTAGTTCAGTTCTAGTTCAGTTCTAGTTCAGTTCTAGTTCAGTTCTAGTTCAGTTCTAGTTCAGTTCTAGTTCAGTTCTAGTTCAGTTCTAGTTCAGTTCTAATTCAGTTCTAGTTCAGTTCTAGTTCAGTTCTAGTTCAGTTCTAGTTCAGTTCTAGTTCAGTTCTAGTTCAGTTCTAGTTCAGTTCAGTTCTAGTTCAGTTCTAGTTCAGTTCTAGTTCAGTTCTAGTTCAGTTCTAGTTCAGTTCTAGTTCAGTTCTAGTTCAGTTCTAGTTCAGTTCTAGTTCAGTTCTAGTTCAGTTCTAGTTCAGTTCTAGTTCAGTTCTAGTTCAGTTCTAGTTCAGTTCTAGTTCAGTTCTAGTTCAGTTCTAGTTCAGTTCTAGTTCAGTTCTAGTTCAGTTCAGTTCTAGTTCAGTTCTAGTAGTTCAGTTCTAGTTCAGTTCTAGTTCAGTTCTAGTTCAGTTCTAGTTCAGTTCTAGTTCAGTTCAGTTCAGTTCTAGTTCAGTTCTAGTTCAGTTCTAGTTCAGTTCTAGTTCAGTTCTAGTTCAGTTCTAGTTCAGTTCTAGTTCAGTTCTAGTTCAGTTCTAGTTCAGTTCTAGTTCAGTTCTAGTTCAGTTCTTCAGTTCTAGTTCAGTTAGTTCAGTTTCTAGTTCAGTTCTAGTTCAGTCTAGTCAGTTCTAGTTCAGTTCTAGTTCAGTTCTAGTTCAGTTCTAGTTCAGTTCTAGTTCAGTTCTAGTTCAGTTCTAGTTCAGTTCTAGTTTCAGTTCAGTTCTAGTTCAGTTCTGTCAGTTCTAGTTCAGTTCTAGTCAGTTCTAGTTAGTTCTCGTCAGTTCTAGTTCAGTTCTAGTTCAGTTCTAGTTCAGTTCTAGTTCAGTTCTAGTTCAGTTCTAGTCAGTTCTAGGTCGTTCTAGTTCAGTTCTAGTTCAGTTCTAGTTCAGTTCTAGTTCAGTTCTAGTTCAGTTCTAGTTCAGTTCTAGTTCAGTTCTAGTTCAGTTCTAGTTCAGTTCTAGTTCAGTTCTAGTTCAGTTCTAGTTCAGTTCTAGTTCAGTTCTATTTCAGTCTAGTTCAGTTCGTTCAGTTCTAGTTCAGTTCTAGTTCAGTTCTAGTTCAGTTCTAGTTCAGTTCTAGTTCAGTTCTAGTTCAGTTCTAGTTCAGTTCTAGTTCAGTTCTAGTTCAGTTCTAGTTCAGTTCTAGTTCAGTTCTAGTTCAGTTCTAGTTCAGTTCTAGTTCAGTTCTAGTTCAGTTCTAGTTCAGTTCTAGTTCAGTTCTAGTTCAGTTCTAGTTCAGTTCTAGTTCAGTTCTAGTTCAGTTCTAGTTCAGTTCTAGTTCAGTTCTAGTTCAGTTCTAGTTCAGTTCTAGTTCAGTTCTAGTTCAGTTCTAGTTCAGTTCTAGTTCAGTCTAGTTCAGTTCTAGTTCAGTTCTAGTTCAGTTCTAGTTCAGTTTCTAGTTCAGTTCTAGTTCAGTTCTAGTTCAGTTCTAGTTCAGTTCTAGTTCAGTTCTAGTTCAGTTCTAGTTCAGTAGTTCTAGTTCAGTTCTAGTTCTAGTTCAGTTTCTAGTTCAGTTCTAGATTTGTCTCATTTGTTGAAAATGCACAACAACAACTAAGATGATGGATGGGTAAGATGAATAAACTCTTAACAGAAGACATGCAATGGAAAAACGTAATTTAAATAGATTTTGAAAACAACTAAGTACTTTGTAGTATGTAATCATTTTATGTATAGAATATACAGTGAGAACAATCTACATCTACTTTATAACTAAAGTTATAAAGTAAACAGCAGAAAATGAACAAATCTAAAAAATAACCGAATTTCTTTCTTAACATATGATATAAGATATTGCTAACATAAAGAAAGAGGATGTGTTAAGTAGCGAACACAACTCTTAAGAGTGAAATTAATGAAAAAGGAACGTAATTAAAATATATGTAGAATTGAATAAATTTAATGTTTGCACTATTAAACGAGAAACAATTTTATGTGAAAGGAATACTGTAGATGATGAGTTTAATCATAAAATTTTCTAAAACAAAAGTAGTTCATCAACAAAAAAACCAAACCAAAAAAAAACAAATATCCGTTTTGTAGAAATTTTTTGAAATTAAGAAGAGGCATATCCTTTGTGTGAAAACAAATTGTGTTGAAAAGTTTTTACAGAATTAATTTTTACTTAACGAAATGCGCATTTAATTAAATTGAATAACTTTATTAGAATAAAATTTATTATTTATGAAATTTTAAAAGAATATTTCTAACTTTAGACTAGTCCATAGACTAGTGAACAGATAAGTGAATGGATTATTTGTCAATAGGCAAGTCGATGGAATGATACATTGACTAGTGCGTAGGATATGAACACAGTGAGTCAGAGGACTCTTCATCTCTGACGATGTTTGGTTTAGTTCAGTGATGGCCAGATAGAGAACAATTTAAATGAGAGTGAAATTAATCGAGGAAACTATTCCTAGTTGAGTTAAAGGAAAGGTGTATTATTTAAATTATTAACTCGCTTTTTTGGAAAATTTTTCCTTGAATTATTTTCAAATAAAAAATTAATTTGAAAACATACAAAGTTTTTCTTTTGAAGAGATTTAAAAAAAACTTTTAGATTATTTTTATGTATTTTTAATAGCTTTATGTTATTATTTATCTGTTTACAAAAAGGATTTGTTTATTTTAAATAAAAGAAAATTGCCAATAAACAAAAAGGATAAAAGGTACAAAAAAGTCTTCAAACTTAAAACTTAAAACTTATGACATGAAAAATGCTATTAAGTAGAAACACATGTAAAAAGGAAACACTTTAAATGGCAAAATACATAAAACCCAAAATACTTATATAAAAAAATTTAAAATAACAAATTTCTTTTAAATATTAAATCTAATCATAATTGTTAGCAAACCTTTGTGTTTTTTAAATAATAATAAAGAATTTTATTAAAGAATAAAATTTAAAGAAAATAAATATTTATTTATGTCCCCCTTAAGCAAAACAAATAATAATGTCACTTTTTATAAGAAATCCAGCTATATTTTTGACAAGATGAAATATGCTGATATTAGAGTGTGACATTTTTTACTTTTTGAAATGTCTTTAATGGCTATAAGATACATATTTGTGTAACACGTAAAGGAAATTTCCTGAAATATGATTTTTTTTTTCATTTGCTACTATAATTTTTTAAAGCTTTATGTAAAGTAGTCAAAGGAAAAAGAAAATCCTTTCCGTATTATTAAGTTGTATTACTTTGCTACTCGTGTTACTTCAATAGACAGTTAGACATATTTACATATTATTGTATGTTTTATAAGGGTTTGGGTTTGTGTTTGTTTGTGGGAAAACTGAATAATAAATAATTTTTCTTATTGATGTTGAAAATGAAACTTGACTATAGAAAAAACATACAAACAGAAACCAAAAATTCTTTCGATGTTTCAATTGTGGAGGGTTTCTTATTGAAGATGAAAACAAAAATATATGTATGTATCTTATAAATATGTATCTTATAAATATATATCTTATAAATATTTCTTATAATATTGTTTATAACAACAAGATTTATAATAAGTTACTTAAAATTTAAATTTTTATATATTGTATTTTTTGGCCATGTTTATGAAACTCTCCCCACTACAAACATATATACATTTTAAAATTTGCTGTATATTTATACCCTACACCACTATAATGAGGAGGCAATTATGGGTTTGTGTTGATGTTTGTAACACCCAAAAATATTGGTCCTACACCCACCTTAAAGTATATCAATCGGTTTAGACTCATTTTTTGAGTCGATTTAGTCCGTCTGTCTGTCTGTCTGTCTGTCCGTTTATGTGTCCATGTAAACCTTGTGCGCACACTACAGTTCACAATTTTAAAGATAAAGGTTTGTGGCGCAAAGCTTCGCATTGCTTGTAGCAGGCACTCCAATCAGCCTAACATTATCACTGGTGTAGGGTATCATATGGTCGGCCATGCCCGACTATAAATTCTTACTTGTTTTCTATTTATACCCTACACCACTATTAAGGGGGTTTAATATGCTTATGGTAAAGTGTGTAACACTTAAACAGAGACTATTGAACGAAGTTAATGCGTCCGTCAGTCCAATCATATGGGTGTCCATACGTTATCCATCTACAACTCGTTAGTTTTAATATAATTCTATATAGATTGATAATGTTTGAAATCGGTTTATAACCCTTATAGCCACCACGTACTCTGAAGTACGGGAAAATAAATTAATAACTTCCGTAAGGTATAATAAGGTCGGATTTGCTCGACCATATTATCTCACTTATTTTTCACAATTTTTTGCTAGATGCGTGAGAATAAGAGTAGCTGTAAACAAGACCAAAGGACCATGGAAAAAAGTTGAAATATTAAATTACAACTGAGAATATAATAATAAATATTTATGCTTTTTTAAGCCAAAAACAACATGCTAGTTAAACAAAAAGAAAGGAAAATATTTGGACAAAACAACGTGATAAAAGAAGCGAAACTGTGACAACATAGACATCAACAAGATTGTTAAAAGTAGACAAAAAGGAAAAAACGCACAAATACATTTTTTGAAAAATATTTTTAATTAGGATGATTTTAGATAAGATCATATTTTGCTACTACCACAATTTCACTGTTAAAAGAAACGTCAGTTAAAATTTAGTGGCCTTCAAATTTTAAGCCAATATTTTAATTACACACAGAAAGCGATTTAATATTTTCTTTTAATTATGACAATAAAACCTCAGAAATTAAAAAAAACTAAAATTACATTTTAATTACAGTGTTTTTCGACGTGGCATGAAGTGCTTCGATGACTATACCTCACGTTGTATTCCCTCGAATAATATCAATATTTTGAACAATAATGTGGAAGGAGCTAAAAAATTCTTTACAAAGTTTTGTGAAGATAAAACCTTTCAACAAGGTAAGTAATAAATTCTAGAAAGAAACAAAAAAAAAGAGAAAATCAAAGTTCAAATCTAAGTAGAAAAGTATTAAATATTCATGGATAATTGAGTGGGCTGGTGGTGGACGACTGATTGGTTTTTGGTTTGTATTGGTAAATTTTACTTAAAAAAATTTTAAGCGGATTATAAACTTTTGTAAAAAGTTTAAGAGAAAATTACTTTTTTTGAGGGTTATTTACACAATGATTAATTTTCTTTTAAATATTTTTATTGCAGTTTGGATTTTTATTTAATTCAATAAAAATTACAAAATATTTTATCAAGTTAATTATTTCTACAATGTTAGACTCTGAATCTAATTTGCTTTGAATTGTGGCTCGTGACAGATTTTAAATATTTTTTATAAATATTGTACAAGATTAAAATAAAGAAAATGTTTTTTTTCTTAAATTTAACAACCTTGAGTTCATAGACTTAGATTTATTTCATTGCTTTTAAAGTCCTTTCTCTGAATACTTTCTTAAATTTCTCATTAAAAGATCATAAGATCTAGACCACATCCAAGTAACCCTTTCAATATTCGTCACATGTAATAAGGTTTTTAGTTTCATTTCTTTTAAATATTTTCCCCTAACTTTTATTAATGCATTTCTTCGTATCTTCAACTACATATAACAAACTGTCAAACTTTAAAAACAAGCCATTTGTTAAATATTTGCATTATATTTGCAAATATTTGCAAAATTCTTCATGACTGAAATGACAAAAATTTCGATCAAAAAACTTTATTGAACACAATGATTCGTAAATATTTATTTACACTCGATATATGTGCATTGAATCATTTTCGTACATATACGTGACTTTATATATTTGGAAAAAATTTTATAAAAATGTGTCACATCTTATATCTCTGGTATATTTTATGCAACAGAACCAATAATAAACAAATTTGGCACTGGTTTAGAGTGGAAAAGTGTTAACTGAGTTTTTCACAATTTTCTTAAGCTGTGAATGACACTAATTGCCAGATCGAAAAGATTTCTAATATAAATAATTAAGTCAAAACTTTATTTTTATAAAATGTAAACTTAACACAATTTGCAGTTAATTTCACAATTTTATCATATTGAAATTTTCACCAAAATTGCGGAAAAGTTTAATAGAAAAAAAAAAAAAACCAACAATGTATTAAATTAGCTTTTATTACTTAGAAAAGCTATCATTCATTTGTCCATTTAGCTGAACACTAAATGGAATCTGTCAAATCCATTCTGGACAAGAAGTCATCTAACAGATAGCGCACTTGTTTTGTTTTCTTGAAAAAAAAAAACTAATTTCTGTTTTCATAAAATCAAATACGAGGTGGGGGGCGAAATCCACATTTGCCATTAACAAAACTACAAATACAAACATACAACTGTCATACATAGAAACAAATATACACATATATGTACATTCATATGTACATCTGTTGAAATTTGTATCCAGATACATGTGTATACTACTAAATATGTACATTAAAAAACAATAGCTAAAGCTTCATATTCAAACTCAATTTTGTGTGACATCTACAGATAGAGGGACAGACAAACACCTACAGATACACCACATAGAGGCAACTGTTACAGACAATAATAAAAATTTTCTTCTTTTTTTGGATCTTATCGTGTAAAATGCTTATATATACTTATGTACATTAGGGTGGCCCCTAAATGATTTCTTTAAACGAACTAAAGTTTCATTGGAAACATAATCTTTTTCATAGAAACAGGACCACTTTAATGTACATACATTCATACATACACTCTTATAATCATATCCATTTAGACTAAAGTATGTACATCACGAATTCAGAAATATTTTCACCCACATGTAAGATTATATGAATGTGAGTTTTTCCAAAGCACTTTGGTTTATTAACTGGTTAACCAGCAAACCTAATAACATTTATTAAGAAGATTTCTTTTCTTTTTCTAAGTATAAAAGGACTCACCTTCATCTACAGTCAGAAGCTAGTGGTGGGTGGTAGTGTGAATCATAAAAAGTTTACTTTACTTGCTGAATACAATAACCACATAAATTGCATTGCATAATTTTGGGAAATTTATTACCTACTGTGATTTTACTCACGTCATTTATGTTTATTAAATATTTAATATGAAAAGTGTCTATCCTTTGTTAATATTTACACAGAATTAATAGAATTTCCTAGTAAAATAAATAATTTACTTATAACGTTACTTAACTTAATCTCTTGAAATAAATCTGCATTATAATTAATTAAAACTTAATAATATATAAACACAATCAATTAAAATGATCTTGAAAATTTTAAGTTTTTAAAATATAAAGGTGAAAATAATACATTGAGAAATATAAAGTTTAGACATTTGCCAAATAGGAAGAAATTATTAAATTCTCATATTATTATAATTTGAATTTGTTTTTCTACTAAAGGCTAAAAATATATGCTGCGACATATTTATAAAAAAATATTTAATTAATATAAGATTAGTTTAATTCAATAGCATAACTTATTTAAATAATACCCTCAGCTATGTATTTAAAAATAAATTAAATTTTCAAAAGTCTAATATTAATTTTGAAATATTATGACATGTTTTGAAACAATTGCCAAAATCTTAAAGATTTATGTAGGGTATCCTTTTTATCTATGACTACTTTATTCTAGGAATACCTCCCAAAAGATGCTAAATAAGAGAGAAATACAATTTTTTGAAAGAAGCCTCAGTTCCCTACAAGCGATTGAAAAACTTGAACACAGTTAGTTAGTTAATTAGTTAGGTAGTTAGTTAGTTAGTTAGTTAGTTAGTTAGTTAGTTAGTTAGTTAGTTAGTCAGTTAGTTAGTTAGTTAGTAGTTAGTTAGTTAGTTAGTTAGTTAGTTAGTTAGTAGTAGTTAGTTAGTTAGTTAGTTAGTTAGTTAGTTAGTAGTTAGTTAGTTAGTTAGTTAGTTAGTAGTAGTTAGTTAGTTAGTTAGTTAGTTAGTTAGTTAGTTAGTTAGTTAGTTAGTAGTTAGTTAGTTAGTTAGTAGTTAGTTAGTTAGTTAGTTAGTTTAGTTAGTTAGTTAGTTAGTTAGTTAGTTAGTTAGTTAGTTAGTTAGTAGTTAGTTAGTTAGTTAGTTAGTTAGTTAGTTAGTTAGTTAGTTAGTTAGTAGTTAGTTAGTTAGTAGTTAGTTAGTTAGTTAGTTAGTTAGTTAGTTAGTTAGTTAGTTAGTTAGTTAGTTAGTTAGTTAGTTAGTTAGTTAGTTAGTTAGTTAGTTAGTTAGTTAGTTAGTAGTTAGTTAGTTAGTTAGTTAGTTAGTTAGTTAGTTAGTTAGTTAGTTAGTTAGTTAGTTAGTTAGTTAGTTAGTTAGTTAGTTAGTTAGTTAGTTAGTTAGTTAGTTAGTTAGTTAGTTAGTTAGTTAGTTAGTTAGTTAGTTAGTAGTTAGTTAGTTAGTTAGTTAGTTAGTTAGTTAGTTAGTTAGTTAGTTAGTTAGTTAGTTAGTTAGTTAGTTAGTTAGTTAGTTAGTAGTTAGTTAGTTAGTTAGTTAGTTAGTTAGTTAGTTAGTTAGTAGTAGTTAGTTAGTTAGTAGTTAGTTAGTTAGTTAGTTAGTTAGTTAGTTAGTTAGTTAGTTAGTTAGTTAGTTAGTTAGTTAGTTAGTTAGTTAGTTAGTTAGTTAGTTAGTTAGTTAGTTAGTTAGTTAGTTAGTTAGTTAGTTAGTTAGTTAGTTAGTTAGTTAGTTAGTTAGTTAGTTAGTTAGTTAGTTAGTTAGTTAGTTAGTTAGTTAGTTAGTTAGTTAGTTAGTTAGTTAGTTAGTTAGTTAGTTAGTTAGTTAGTTAGTTAGTTAGTTAGTTAGTTAGTTAGTTAGTTAGTTAGTTAGTTAGTTAGTTAGTTAGTTAGTTAGTTAGTTAGTTAGTTAGTTAGTTAGTTAGTTAGTTAGTAGTTAGTTAGTTAGTTAGTTAGTTAGTTAGTTAGTTAGTTAGGTTGTTAGTTAGTTAGTTAGTTAGTAGTTAGTTAGTTAGTTAGTTAGTTAGTTAGTTAGTTAGTTAGTTAGTTAGTTAGTTAGTTAGTAGTTAGTTAGTTAGTTAGTTAGTTAGTTAGTTAGTTAGTTAGTTAGTTAGTTAGTTAGTTAGTTAGTTAGTAGTTAGTTAGTTAGTTAGTAGTAGTTAGTTAGTTAGTTAGTTAGTTAGTTAGTTAGTTAGTTAGTAGTTAGTTAGTTAGTTAGTTAGTTAGTTAGTTAGTTAGTAGTTAGTTAGTTAGTTAGTTAGTTAGTTAGTTAGTTAGTTAGTTAGTTAGTTAGTTAGTTAGTTAGTTAGTTAGTTAGTTAGTTAGTTAGTTAGTTAGTTAGTTAGTTAGTTAGTTAGTTAGTTAGTTAGTTAGTTAGTTAGTTAGTTAGTTAGTTAGTTAGTTAGTTAGTTAGTTAGTTAGTTAGTTAGTAGTTAGTTAGTTAGTTAGTTAGTTAGTTAGTTAGTTAGTTAGTTAGTTAGTTAGTTAGTTAGTTAGTTAGTTAGTAGTTAGTTAGTTAGTTAGTTAGTTAGTTAGTTAGTTAGTTAGTTAGTTAGTTAGTTAGTTAGTTAGTTAGTTAGTTAGTTAGTTAGTTAGTTAGTTAGTTAGTTAGTTAGTTAGTTAGTTAGTAGTTAGTTAGTTAGTTAGTTAGTTAGTTAGTTAGTTAGTTAGTTAGTTAGTTAGTTAGTTAGTTAGTTAGTTAGTTAGTTAGTTAGTTAGTTAGTTAGTTAGTTAGTTAGTTAGTTAGTTAGTTAGTTAGTTAGTTAGTTAGTAGTTAGTTAGTAGTTAGTTAGTTAGTTAGTTAGTTAGTTAGTTAGTTAGTTAGTTAGTTAGTTAGTTAGTTAGTTAGTTAGTTAGTTAGTTAGTTAGTAGTTAGTTAGTTAGTTAGTTAGTTAGTTAGTTAGTTAGTAGTTAGTTAGTTAGTTAGTTAGTTAGTTAGTTAGTTAGTTAGTAGTTAGTTAGTTAGTTAGTTAGTAGTTAGTTAGTTAGTTAGTTAGTTAGTTAGTTAGTTAGTTAGTTAGTTAGTTAGTTAGTTAGTTAGTAGTTAGTTAGTTAGTTAGTTAGTTAGTTAGTTAGTTAGTTAGTTAGTTAGTTAGTTAGTTAGTTAGTTAGTTAGTTAGTTAGTTAGTTAGTTAGTTAGTTAGTTAGTTAGTTAGTTAGTTAGTTAGTTAGTTAGTTAGTTAGTTAGTTAGTTAGTTAGTTAGTTAGTTAGTGTTAGTTAGTTAGTTAGTTAGTTAGTAGTAGTTAGTTAGTTAGTTAGTTAGTTAGTTAGTAGTTAGTTAGTTAGTAGTGTTAGTTAGTTAGTTAGTTAGTAGTTAGTTAGTTAGTTAGTTAGTTAGTAGTTAGTTAGTAGTTAGTTAGTTAGTTAGTTAGTAGTTAGTTAGTTAGTTAGTTAGTTAGTTAGTTAGTTCGTTCGTTCGTTCGTTCGTTAGTTAGTTAATTAGTTACTAAAAATCTATTTTTAAATTATTTTTCCTGTAATCAGCTCAAAATTACAGTATTTTTGCGATTCATTTCGAAGATATTGCAAAAGATTTTTTAAAATATTGTAATAATTTTAAAATTTTCCATCGCCAGTACAAAACTGAGACCCCTTCAAAAAATTTATTTATTTTTTTTAAATTTTTAAATAATTTGTGAATTATTTTGCATCTGCATTTGTGTTTCAGTTTATTGTTTATTAAACTCACAAGAATTTCTAACTTGAATTAAAATCAAACATATGAGGCGTATACTTCATATTTAATTTCTTATTAGTTAAAATATTAAGTATACGTCACATATGTTTTAAAAATTAACGGTATATAAGATTCGGTACAGCAGAATAAATTCCTCTTACTTGTTTTAATTATTTTGATACATTTTGGAAAATAAAACATTTTATAAAAAACTACCTCTACTTTTGTTATGCCCCTAATATACTCCTATATAGTTAATTAAATACATACAAGAAAATGTACTTTAAGTAAAATTAAAACAGCCCAAGGTGTTTTTAAGTATTTTCAAAACATCAAACATTTATATGACAATCTCACCTTGAAAATAATCAAATACATATTTAAGCCTGAAAGCATTTTAAAATAAACATATAACAACACGAAAAATTACATTAAAAAAAATATTACATAAATTGAATATCCGTTATATTTATCTTAATGTTTCCTTAGTAAAGTAATTTGTATCAATTTAAGAACAAATAAAAACCTCACTGAATACTAAAACAATACAATGAAATTATTAGCAGTTTAATAAGGTTTAAACCTAAATCGTTCAGCTGGAAAAATTGTGCTTAAAGTCATTGACAGTTAAAGGTTTTGGCATGTTTTTTCTTTTTGGATTGGTATAAGAGTCTTGATTTCAAGTACTTTAAAATATTCTAAATGTGTCTCAAGTTAAATTTCAAAAGAAATTTTTATATTAAGTGGCTTGTTGAATAATTGAGATTGGTTGAATTGTGTAATTTTAGGTTAAATTCAAAGACTTTTTTCATTATTTTGGTTAATTTTTAAATAATTAAAGTATAATTTTGATTCATTTGTGTTTTTGTTTTAGTTTGAGGCAATTAATTTAAATATTTAAACTAAAAAAATTTGAACTTGTAATATAATCTAACATATGTGGCGTATACTTATTATTTGTTTTCTTATTAGGTTGCATATTAAGTATACGTCACATATGTTTTGAAAATTTGAATATTTTGTTAAAAGGAAGAACAATGATTCATTCTATTAAATCTTATTTTTACAAATACCCTAAAATTGTTTACTGGGTTATTAACTAAACATAAATTGACATCTTTAGATAATAATCGTTATTGGTTTGTATATGTTTCTTTTTGCACATTAAGGATATTTGACACGAAATGAAACACATAAAAAAATCAACATTTATTCTATGAAAAGTGACATTAAGCAAGCAATTTGCCAATTTCCATTTAAATACAGAAATATAAATATTAGTGGCTTTTACAAAAAACATAACCTAACATTGGTCCCTTATCTATCCCTCTCACACTCTCTGCTATAATGAATAAATAAATTTTGTATATATTGTGTCAAATTAGAAAAGACAACTTGATACATTTCTTAATAAGTATGACAAATTTGCTTTTATTCATATTTTATTACAACATTCATTTCTCTTACTCTTTGCATCTGTCTTTCTTTTTTCTCTCCAGATTATTTAAGTCACAAGGAATGTTTTTCTTACATACAAGAGGATTGGATGCATTGTACGAAAAATTTTCAAAATATTTTGTCTGAAGGTTTACACTCGGATAAAAATATAACGGAAAAGTTTTTGGAATTTTGTTGGTAAGTTTGTGAAAATAATAACAACAACAACAATATAAATACAGTTAGTTAATAAAGTAAATAATATTTATCATGGGAATTTAAGTCAGTCTCAGTTACATTTATTTCACACACACACATTTTTCTTGTTCACATGTTTCACATTTAATTTAAACTTTCAAATATAAGTTGTACAGAAAAAATAGCAGCTTTTAAGAAGACTTTTAGCAAAAATTATTTTTTAAGAAATACTATTTCACAAAGTCTTTTTTAATAAAGAACCTGCAAAATTTTACATAACTATTATATTTACAAAAATACTTACATATGTATTTTATCAATTATAAACACTGCTATTATTCTAAACTTACGTATACAACCAACAATTATATTTAGCACATATTTGTCTACCAAACCTCAAAACAATAATAAATTTTGTGCAAAAATTTTATAACAACATCTCCATGTATTCACCTTTATATTACAAACGTCACGTATGAGAAGAGAAAACTTTTTTTAATTTATAAATTTGTTATTTGTCTTATATGTATGTTTTACAGACATTTTATATTTTTTAATTTAATTTCCATTTCATTCTTTTTTTTTCTTAACTTGATTACTTGCAGTGCACGTTACGCTTATGAGACCTGCATCTATAATAGTGCTCGCTATAAATGCTATCAGAATTCGGCCGCATTCGCACGTGCCACAGCACAAATGTTGTCGGATGAAAAACATTTCAGCAATTGTCGACAATTCGAAGTATCAACGTGTGGCAGTACACCTGTCATAGTTCAACTGCAACTACATTGCCATTGGACATTATGGTTGGCCATAACGTTGCTCTTTATGATAAAAAATTACCAGTTGATGTCATAAAGGAACTAAACTTGTAGGTTGTAAAATGATAGGATAGAAGGATGCATTGATAAATTGATAGATTGATTCAATTCAATTGAGTTTGTTATGTGGTCATACAATAATAACAACAGAAGCAGTAACAAAGATATTAAATGTACTTACAATGGAAACGTAATGAAAATCATTGTCATTTCTTTGAAAAAAAGAAAAAAAAAACTGAAGCAAAAATATCAGAAACTAAATAGTGATTGCATTTGTGTGCGTGTGTGAGTTTATGAGAAGAGTGTGTATGAATGTCTAATTTTTTCCTTCTTGTAGTAATGAACTCATTAATTACACCATTTCCAGCTAATGTTAAAGAAAATTTTTAATTGTGAAATAAATAAATAGTATTAATCTTAAGAGGAAATTTTGCTGTGTTTTTATTTGTTAAACTATTTATACCCTACACCACTTTAGTGGGGAGGGTATATTGGATTTGTGCTGATGTTTGTAACATACAAAAATATTCGTCCTAGACCCACCTTAAAGTATACCAATCGGCTTAGAATCGTTTTCTGAGTCGATTAAGCTATGTCCGTCCGTCCGTCCGTCCGTCTGGCAGGCTGGCTGGCTGGCTGGCTGTCCATGTAAACCTTGTGCGCAAGGTACAGGTCGCAATTTTCAAGATAATTGAATGAAATTTGGCACGCACATTTTATTTGACCCAAGGCCTAAGCCTATTGAAAATGGTTGAAATCGGTCCATTATTTCACCTAGCCCCCATAGAACAGAACCCCCCGAAAAGAGCTTTTGAGCTCATAATTTTGTTAAATTTACAGATATATCGATAAAATGCGGCACAACTAAGTTTTATAGAAGTCTGGATGACCCTGCCAAATTTCATAAAGATCGGGCCCCATTTGACCCTAGCTCCCATACAAAGTCCCCTTCAGAAAATTACTTGAATGTCCCAAATTAACTTATAAACACAAATATCGCGATGAAATTTAGCACAATAAAATATTATGTAAATATAAATATATTCACAAAATTTTATCGGGCTTGGTCCATATTTGCCCCTAGCCCCCATATAAAGCCTCTTTCAGAAAATTAGATTTTCATCCATAAATTGCTTAAATGTATCGGAACAAGGGAATATTGAAGATAAATGCTTTATTATGAAAAATAAATCACATTTAATATTCATAACTGGTGTAGGGTATCATATGGTCGGCCACGCCCGACTATACTTTCTTACTTGTTTTTTTTTTGTAAATTGTGGGGGGAAAAGGGGGGAGGGAAGTGGGGGAAAAAGGCGCAAAGAACGAACGAACGAATCGACCGAAACGAACGAACGAACGAAACGAACGAAGAACGAAACGAACGAAGAACGAAACGAACTAACGAACGAACGAACGAACGAAACGAACGAACGAACGAAACGAACGAACGAACGAACGAACGAACGAACGAAACGAACGAACGAACGAACGAACGAACGAACGAACGAACGAACGAAACGAACGAAACGAACTAACGAAGAACGAACGAACGAACGAACGAACGAAAACGAACGAACGAAACGAACGAACGAACGAACGAACGAACGAAAACGAACGAACGAACGAACGAACGAAGAACGAACGAACGAACGAACGAACGAACGAAACGAACGAACGAACGAACGAACGAACGAACGAACGAACGAACGAACGAACGAACGAACGAACGAACGAACGAACAACGAACAACGAACGAACGAACGAACGAACGAACGAACGAACGAACGAAAACGAAAGAACGAACGAACGAACGAACGAACGAACGAACGAACGAACGAACAACGAACGAACGAACGAACGAACGAAGAACGAACGAACGAACGAACGAACGAACGAACGAACTAACGAACGAACGAACGAACTAAGAACGAACGAACGAACGAACGAAACGAACGAACGAACGAACGAACGAACGAACGAACGAACGACGAACGAACGAACGAACGAACGAACGAACGAACGAACGAACGAACGAACGAACGAACGAACGAACTAACGAACGAACGAACTAACGAACAACGATAAACGAAAAACGAACTAACGAACGAAACTAAATAACTAACTAACTAACTATAACTAACTAACTAACTAACTAACTAAATAACTACCTCTCTAACTAACTAACTTACGTACTAACCGCGGTATATTCTTCTTCCAAATTTAGCACCCAAACTTAAAATTTATTAAAATTTGTACATAAATGGTTTTACAAAAATCGATTTGCCGTGAAAGGTTTTTGCAAAGGTTTTTCTTATTAGAACACTACAGGTTATAACGTAGTTATAGGAAATTATATCACTTAGGATGTATTGCTTCATATTTAATCTTTATACTACAGGTAAAAAGTAAGTATGTTTTGCAAAAAGGAATAGATGAATTATACGAAAACGTTTTTTTTTTTTTTTTTTTTTTTTTGTTGCATAACATGGATTATTTTTAAATGTAAGCTCTCACATATGAATGACTTTATGTTACTTGTTTGTATGTGCAAGAATTTGCTATTTTTAGTCTAAATATGGAACCGTATTAATGCATCATAAATATGAGAAATTTACACATAAGTGGGGTAATTAACTTTGGAATAATTTCAAGGAATAAATTAGCGTGGAAAAATCTAGAATATATTCTATAATTACAAAATACAATATTTGCTGTACTAAAACGTGTTTGCTTCATAAGTAAAACGGGTCAATGACGATAATGCCTTTTTAAGAATATACGTTAATCTAAGTATTATTTGGGTGCTGATTCAATAAAAACCTTTAATTTTTTAATAATTTTGTTAAATAAATTTTAAAGTTTTTATATAGACGCGAACACTTTTTTATAAATTTGTAAAATTTTCGCAAAATAACATCAATATATGGTGTAAATTGCAGTAAAAGTATGTAAAACAGGGAAACTTACAAGCTCCATATATTGTTTTTCATTTCCAGTTTTCCTTGTCTATGTCTATCTGTCCTTTATGTCAGTAACATGTCTTTTGTATAAGAACTTTTTCCTGAAAACATTATAATTTTAATAAGGTTACATTAATTGTAAATTATTTATGGCAAATGTTGCTGATATGTAATTGAGTTGAAATTAATAATAAAAAACACAGAAGATCAAATTAACTTATGCTCTTTAATTTAATTTAAATAAAAATTGTAATAAGATATAAGATAAAATGCATACCATCATTGCCAATTATAATATAAAATTAAAATTTACTACAGAAATTTTATTTAAATATTCTTGGCTTGTTATTTTTATTTATTTACTTCTTTTGTAATTTTAATTAAAAATCAAAATAGGTAATAACTGCTGAAGAACAATATATGCAATTATTACAATTCCATACATACATATTCAATTCCACAAATAACTGTAACAGAAATACAATACATACATACATATGTATGTATATAATTACTAACATACTATTTATACACAGAGGGAAAAGGATATATACACGTCTGGTACCAAATTGACACCAAAGAGTTTATAATTTTTGAATAAAATCCGTTGTTAAAGTATATACATACGTACGTGCAACAATTCGTCGTCGAAATCTAAATTTTATACACATCCGTTGTTTAAATGTTAACAAACGTTGGTAACGGATTGTTTGTCTAGTGTTGTCTTACGTATGTGTATACTTTGACAACGGATGGTATTGAAAAATTATAAACAGTTTGGTGTCAATTTGGTACCAGACGTGTCTATTTCCTTTTCCCTCTGTGTACATACATATATCCAAATTGTCACCACAACGTATCGACTTGAAGTTAAAACAATCATATATGATCGATTGCATTAATTGCCAATTCTTCTCGAAGGCATAACAAAAACTCGGTTATACGTTGTACTTACACAACCACTTATTTTTCACTGTTAGTACTACATACCGTCTGCATTACTTTTAGGTACTTTTATGAAAACCATTTTTTGGCTCACAATACGATAACCAACTGAGCAATTTTGTGTGTGAAAAATAAAACAACTTTTTAACTCCTTATTTGTAAGTACTTTTTTAAGGAGTTATTTGTAGCAAGAGTGAAAAGTACAAATGAACTAAAAAGTGATAGAAAATCCATTTTTATAGATCTTCATTACTGCATGTTTAATTTTATGCTTCTAAACTCAATAAAGTGCCAGTTGAAATATGAAAAAGTACCAAAAATTCCCCATTTGTAGATTTTCATTTACTCAGGACTCTGCGTATTTAATTTTATAGTTCAAGAAACAAAATTATAAAAAACTCATAATTAACTTGTTGAAAAACGAAACCACCTCTAATTTCCAAAAATCCCATTTTGTGGATCGATTTGGGGGAAGAATTTTACTCACTCTCTCTCATTAACGTCTGGCATTTACATTGTTCCATCAAGTATCAGTCAGTGAACAGTAATGTTACAATTTTCCACTATCCAATAGAACTATCATAGGGGCAAGTTTCATCCCTATCGTAAGATATCGTTTTCAAAAGTTAGATCACTTTACATGAAATCTCTCTTAGATTTAAATTGGTTTTATACTCTCAAATCTGATCATTACGAAGTTTACATATTATAAAGATTTTAAACAAACATACAACATTTAATACAAATGAAATAGATACTTTTTGGATACAATATCAAAATTTAAACATACATTTGTTTGTTGAGTTATTAACTGTAAATGAAAGAGTAAACCAGTCAGTGAGTGAGCCAAAAAGGATTCAGACAGGCTAGTATAAATTATTGTTTTTGTATATGTATGTGTTTATTTATATGGAAAGAGAATTTAAGGGTATGTCATGGAAATTCTGTACAATTATTGTAATTCGATATGACTATTGTATAGTATGTATATACATATGTATATGTTTAATTGAGTATATCACGGAAAGATTCATACGCATAAATAAATATTTGTTTTATACCTATACATGTGTATGTACATGTGTTTTTGCTTATATATTTTATGTATGAATGGAAATTAGCAGGACTGCAATAATAGGAGAAAAAAATAGAAACAACAATGACATTTAAAGTAAACAATGTGTTTTTTTGTATTTGTTTAAGTGTGTATTGTTGTTATAAGATGAAATTGTTTATTGTTTTTAAAATAAATAAAATTTACAAGAAACAATTGGAAAGCGACTGCTGGTTGCAGAAACTTCATAAAGACCAAAATAAAAATATTGAAATCAAAATTAAAAAAGTTAACTTATAAATATTAATATTAAAAAATTATTTTGGTAAGTATTTAACATAATTTT